ATGTAGACTTGTTAATGGGAACTATTCAACCATGTTTCTCATATCGTCTTACTAAATTAGTGCATCTTTATAGAGTATGATTTGGCAGAATTATTTGATAAAGGAAAATATAGGAAATAGGGTTGATCTTCTGCAAACAAAAATATAACTAATGCAATCATTTCTACCAGAGGTTTCAAACTACTACCTGTGAGCAAAATCAGCCTGGAGACATGTTTTGAGTTTTGTTCTTTTTTTTTTACCCATGCTGTGTTTCAAATATTTTGAATTAAGTTTCAGTGTTTTAAAAGTATGATTTTTATATTAAAAATCATATTTTCGTAACAACAACAATTGACTGGAGCTAATTAATTCTGTCCTCTCTGGTAAGTGATGGTCTCTATTGGTTCATCTAGTTCCCCCACTTCCTACTGTCTCTCTTATCCTGAGACTCTTATTCAGTTTGTATGCCCCTTGCCTTTTTACTATTTGATCATCTTGTTTGTACCAGCCTCTCTTAATTTATTTAAGTTAAGGCCTTATGCCTTACAGCATTTCAGTTGATGACTTCCGAGCTACAGAATGCAATTAAACTGCTACTGCAAAGAGTGAATGCCAGAATGACCTGTTGTTTTCGTGATTTCAGCAGTCATGTGGCCTTCAGTGTACTTTTTAATCAATAACTGGGGGAAAAGGTGTTTTATTGTAAGGATATTTTTATTCTACATTGTTATGCTGCCCTTCCCCTAATATAACTGGGCCTAAGAGAAACTGGATAGTACTATAGAACAAATAGAAACATGAGCTTGGCATAGCCTCCTAGCTTGAGCATAGAAACAGGATAAGTTATGATACTACTTTGAGCCATTCTTTGTGGAAATGTCTTCAGACATTTCAGCTTACAGAAAATACTACAAATGTTTTATTAACTATATTTTTTCAAAATAAACCATAATATTACTCCTTTGTGAATAGTAACTATTATTATCCAAGGAGAATTTCTTCATGCAGAACTCAAAATAGTATTATAAATAGGTTTATTTTAATTTCCATTGGAATATTTTTCTTAAAACTTGAGATGTCACACTGAAGAATATAGTGCCTGAAATCACAATTTTCAACATCTTTTTTTAATACAATAGTATATCAAAAGGATATTACATGTTCATGATTAATCATTAATTTTGTTTTGACTTTTTCTAACATGATTTTGTTCATATAGTAGACTTCCAATTTAAGTTTCTCAAACTCCTGAGGCTTCCTTTTTAATGCCAACTTTAACCAGAGAGCTCTTCATTTGAAAGGAAGGCTAAGCTGCAGTTGACAAAGATTAAAATGCAGTAGCTTACTCCTTTCAGGCTATGAATGGAGATGATTGAAGCATAAACCATTTAATGTTTTTGTACACACTTGTCTATGTCTCTGTAGTTTCTGAGGAAGAAACTGCATGTGCATTGAATATTTTCACTATTTTACTTGTTAAATGAATCTAACGAAAAAGAACTTAATTGAGTTTGGAGTTCATATCCAGAATTTTTCACTACATCATGATGTTATCTTTTGTTATGGGGTATTTGTTCAAGTGAATACCAGTGATGTCAGCTATCATTATGTTGTTTCTATTAGCATATCCTTGGTAATTTTCTTTCTCCTTGATCTGTCTAATATTGACAGTGGGTTGTTAAGGTCTCCCACTATTATTGTGTGGAAGTCTAAGTCTCTTTGTAGGCCTTTAAGAACCTGCTTTATGTATCTGGGTGCTCCTGTATTGGGTGCATATATATTTAGGATAGTTAACTCTTCTTGTTGCATTGATTCCTTTACAGTTATGTAATGCCCTTCTTAGTCTCTTTTGATCTTTCTTGGTTTAAAGTCTGTTTTATCAGATACAAGGATTGCAACCCCCTGCTTTTTTTTGCTCTCCATTTGCTTGATAAATCTTCCTCCATCCGTTTATTTTGAGCCTGTGTGTGTTTTTGCACATGAGATGGGTTTCCTGAATACAGCACAATGATGGGTCTTGACTCTTTATCCAATTTGCCAGTCAGTGTCAGCAAAAGCCTCAAGTGACCCCTGGGGAGCTCTGAATGTGGAATGGCCCTGTAGAGTTGTCCTGAGTTGTGGTAAGTGGCTTCAGCCTTTATACCTCCAAATTGATCATTGATTGGATGCAGGTTAGCCCAGAAAGGGTTGCAACCTTCTGCAAGGTAGCTCTTTTTTAGCCAAAGCTGTTCCAAAGAGGGCTAACCACTCAGGGTTGTCTACCAGTAATATTTCCAGAAGCTGAGGGAATAAATCCTTAATTCCAAAAAGGGCAGCTGAGTGGCGTGTCACATCTATTACTGTTTCTTGAGTACATTTCCTTAATTTTACTTTATGAATTACTTTGAGCCATGTGAGAGGGTGAGAATTATATTGCTTCATTGATTAAAAATTTTCTTCTAGGAGTTTTTCATTCTCATTTCATTTCAGTCAAAGTCCGAGGCATGATTCTTTATACTGAATACTAATAATTAAGTTTCTTTATTTTTGTTTCTCCATGTAATGAATCATTTATTTTTTCTGTGTCCTCTTTACATAATTGAATAGTAAAATGAGATTTTTTTTAAAAACCTATTTTACAGGATACTTCCAATCCCTCACATAGATTTACTACTTTTCAAAGCTGTAATAAATAGCTAGTGAAGCCATTAAATAGAATCAGTATTTTGTGTTATAGTTCCTAAATTCTTTAAATATGCATGAAAGAACAGGGACTCATAATTTTCACCTATGCAAATATAGATTGTGACTAATAGAACACCAGTAGAAAAAAATGTTTGAATTGTTTTTCTAGGAGTGGTGATATATTGCTGGTAGTTCTACCTCCACTCCTTCTAACTATCCCCTTAACCATATCTTAACCATATGTGTCACAGAGTCATTCTAATCCCATGATGCTAACTGCCTTATCAAGACAGCAAGCCTTAGATGCCTTGTTGAAAACATGTCTCCACATTTATTCTATTTTCAAATGGATTAAGAATTTCAGAAGTTGGATATTTTTAATTTGAACAAATACACCTGTAAAGTAATAGCATGCTTGCCCCTTTCTGAGCTTTACTGCTTTCAGATAGCTCAGAACTTGCACTCTTGCCTCCCTTGGTGATTCTTAGAACTCTCTGTGGCTGTTAATCCCTAATCACTTTCTTACACTGATGATTCACATTTTCAGATGCTATAAAAATGTAACACCTTTTAAACATACTTAGTATGGTAGTCCCTGTGATTATTTTTAATGAAATGCTTTAACGTAGACCCTTCTTTTCCCAAGACTTTCCATTTAAAGACATAATAATAATTTTTAGCTGCCTAAGCAAATTTGCAAGAACTACAGTATACATACAGCATGTTGTTCATAATTATCCAACAATCATTTGAACATGTTATATTTCCCAGCTCATAAAAATAGCAGAGATAGAAAAATCCATTAGGCATGATTTCTGCCCACAGGAAGCTTTGGACAGACCGATGTGAAGCCAGAACATCACTAGAGGTTGTAATCACTGCCACGGTGGTGGTAGCACAGGAGAATAACTGTAGAGGGAAAGCTATGTCTCGGGAGAGGAAGGAGCTCTGGAAGGAAGAGGACATTTCAGCTAATTTTGAAGAGTCCATTCACCACATGGCTATGAGGTAGAAGGGCACTACAGAGATGAGAAATGACATGTACAGAGGCAAATAGATGTCAAAAAATATGACAGTATCTGGCAACTACATTGCTCTGTCTGGAATACAATCTTCTTATGAGGGAGTAGCACAAAATTGAGGCTGGAAAGGTAGGTAAGGTGGCCTTCACATAACAGGTGAGAGATTTGCCCTCCATCTTGGAAGAAAAGGAATGAGATCAAGTGAGTTTGGAAGTAACACGTCATTGGGAGTACATGAGTGACAGTAAACAAATCGTGTTCATAGAGGAATACATTTGTATATCTACAGGCAAAGCATTTTCCTTGTTGTGGAAATAAATACAGAGCTATTTGATACGTGGACATAAGAATTATTCCACTTGGAATGAGTTTTAAGTTCAACAAATTATAAAAATAAACAAATTCCTTATAGCTTTTAGCTTCATCAAATTCGTATGACACCCTTGCAAAAAACACATTAAAATGTGAATGGTAGTTTTCTGAGCATAGGTAATGTAGGAATGAAAAAAAACCTTTTTTTCTTTTTAGTAATTATGGTCTTCACATTACTCTTAGTAATTTGTTTTATAAAGCATAAAACAGTCATATCATTTTAATATTTCTATGACCCACCTCATCATTTTAAAACCTTATATATTCACTAAGTAAAATTGCCATGATGCAAACATTATAATAAATGCTGCTACTAGAATAAATTTATTTGCAGTTCATCTGGCCTTTGCAATGATAGGGTGTTTGATTTCACTGTGAACCTATTTTTTTTTTTTTTCAAAAAAATTTTATTAAAATTATTGTACTTTTCAATAAAACAAACTTGTTAGCTGGAATTTATGAAAACAATTCTATTACTGAAAATTTGGAACATAATTTATTGTTTATTTAACATGAGTGCAAAAACTTTTGGATGTTGAAATAATGTGATTTAAAATAATGTTGAAAACTATGATACATAGGTAAGTGTTGCTTTTAGGGTGAGAAAACAAATGTGATTGTGATTAGAATATTTTTCTAAAAAATATAGTACACTTGGAATAAAGAATAAAAAGTACATGATTTTTAAAAGTGCTACACATAACTGTTATTGAAAATAAAGAATGCTTTTGAAGGACTAATACCAAATACCCTCTTTAAATACATTTTCTTCGTTTTCTTTAATACAGGGTCATCTGCTTTTTTTTTTTTTGATGGGATGAAACTTGTTAAAATATAATCTAAAATATGTTTAAGTAGAACTGCATTAATTATTTTAATGTATTGCAGTTTTTTTCTGTTTTTAAAGTGTACACATCAGTAAGACTACAAAACTTTTCATTTTTATTATTTTCCTTCTAGATTTATTCCTGACAACATTGAATGCCACCACTAGTACCTTCCAGTTTGAGATATGGGAAAATTTGGTAAGAAATCTTTCCCTTGAAGCATTTTAAACTGATGACTTTCAGTAAAACACACAGTTTTAGAAAATAAAATGAAAAGAATCACTTGGTCGGTTGATTTCAACAATAAATAGAAAACTTTAAGAGCCTTTGGTTGCATTGCTGCATTTAAACTGCTGAATATTGCATAAGGAAGTGATTCATTCAGCATCAATTCCTCTGCAGGTTTTTAGGTATGACTGCCAATTAAACCAATCAGGCTGCCCTAATGTGCATGTTAACAGGACCCCTGCTATGCTGTCAGCTGTTGAGAGAGGTTACTGTCATTTAATTTGTCAACATGATGGTCTATGAAGAAATTTCTTTAAAAAAGACTAAATTTTCCCCTTTGCCTTTAGGCTTATATAAAGAAATAAGAGAACAAACGCTAAACTTACTGCCATGTTAACTAGGATTAAGAAATAGGTTGTTTTTTTTTTAATTGTAAGTAGAAGATTCCCAAGCCAATGTCATGATTTTATTTTACTTTTAGTTTGATGTGAATTATGTGATAGGTATTAATGAAGAATAAATGACCTGAAATCTTTTTTTTTTTTTTTTTTTTTTGAGACAGAGTCTTGCTGTCATCAGGTGCCAGGCTGGGGTGCAGTGGCACAATCTCGGCTCACTGCAACCTCTGCCTCCTAGGTTCAAGCAGTTCTGCCTCAGCCTCCCAAGAAGCTGGGACTGCAGGCGCACACCACCATGCCCAGCTAATTTTTGTATATTTTAGTAGAGAGCGGTTTTACCATGTTGGCCAGGATGGTCTCGATTTCCTGACCTCGTGATCCGTCCGCCTCAGCCTCCCAAAGTGCTAGGAGTACAGGCACCACCTGAAATCTTAATGTTAAATTCAGGCTACATAGTAGAAGACAGGACCGGAGATCAGACAAAACTAGCCATCACAGTGACATTCATGACATATTTGTCAAGTATTGAACCTCACTTTCCACACACAGAAAATGGGTATAAGAGCCTCTGCTTCACAGAATGTTTATGAAGATTAAATAAAACAGCTTGTGTAACGTGCTTGACACAGAGTGGATATTTATCGAATTTTTCAATCCAAATTAAACCCATACCTTTTTTTTTTTTTGGAGACAGAATTTTGTGCTTGTTGCCCAGGTTGCAGTGCAGTGGCGCCATCTCAGGCCTCATTGCAACCTCCGCCCTCTGGGTTCAAGTGATTCTCCTGCCTCAGCCTCGTGAGTAGCTGGGATTACAGGTACCTGCCACCATGCCCTGATAATTTTTTCTATTTTTAGTAGAGACAGGATTTTGCAATGTTGGGTAGGCTGGTCTAGAACTCCTGACCTCAGGAGTTCTGCATGCCTCAGCCTCCCAAAGTGCTGGAATTACAGGCATGAGCCATTGCACCTGGCCAAACCCATAACCTTTTATAAATTTTTTAAAAATACTTATGAGAACTACGCCGATTTTTTAAATGTAAAGCACAAACTTACGGAAGGAGATTCATTGTCAGCCAGCTCTCATAGTATGGTCAGTGATGCTGATCATGACTCCCATCTCTTCATGGAAGGAAACTACGATGGGGGGTAGCTTTGTTTAGACAAGATCAGAGCTCCTAAGTACTTCTAAGCTCAGCATTTTAGTTCTTTTGTTGCCGGGGCATTGTGGGGGCAAGAGAAAGTAAGACATCTAGATCAAGAAAAGACAATTAATATACTACTTTAAAAAATTAGTTATATTTGTTTTTTCTGATATTAGAAATACAGTTGCTGTGTTTTTTATGACTGCCATATGTTAAGTCCCCACTGCTGGGGGACGTTTGTTTGCAGATGGCCTTTCTTTGTCACCACAAGTGAATCATGCAATATTAGAAAATGAGAGGTGTATTTGATTAACGTGTATCCAGGGGTCAGCTGGAAACCTCATTATAAATAAGTAGAATATCCGTAGAATATTATGAAACACCCTTAACTTCATGAGGTTCTTTACGTCTAGGCTGATTTAAATGTAGTGGAGTAAAGCAACTCAATGAAGAAAACAGATTTTGATTGGGTCTTTTATTATTGTTTTCTTTAAGAAAATGAATAAATTGGCGTTGGAAAATGGGGACTGAGGGTTGTTCTGTTAAGTGGCTGGGTCAGTAAGTAACTTTTTTTGTTAAAGATGGTAAGGCAGTTTTTCTTCGAGTTTACTCCTTCAGTGGAGTTTTGCAATAGGGGAAAGAGATCGGACTCACCTCCAAATACAGCAAGGAAAATTGGGACATTATGACCAATGAGTGGCAGGGTAGTGGTTGGGCTTAGGTAAGCAGAGTTCTCAGAGGAGCCTGACCAAAGTTTGGTCAAGGAGAACATCATTAGTAGATTTAGAATTAATTAGTACAGGTAAAGTGTCATTTTCATAAAATGAGTGATCATTTTCAATTAAAGAATGGACAGGCACTTTGCAGTCACATACTAATTGGCCAAAAAAATCCCTCAAAACCTATAAAACTATATTAGCCAGTAGGAGAATGAAAGCTGCCACAAATCTTTTTACATATCAGTTGTATGTATAGCCCCATGGTAGTGCTCTGGCAGATACAGAAGTGACTAGGGCTTGTAGGCCAGGAGAGCAGCTGGGATGTGAGTATGGGTGACCCTGGCTTGTATGATGAAATGTACATTATGCTACAAGAATTCAAAGACCAGTTGCTTCTGTCTGGTTCCAGAATTGTCAGTGAAGGCTTCAAAAAAGATACGGTATTTAGGCCAGGAACGGTGGCTCACAGCTGTAATCCCATCACTTTGGGAGGCTGAGGCAGCCAGATCACCTGAGATCAGGAGTTCGAGACTAGCCTGGCCAACATGGTGAAACCCCATCTCTAATAAAAGTAGAAAATTAGCCTGGTATAGTGGTGCATGCGCAGGAGGCTGAGACCAGAGAATCGCTTGAACCCAGGAGATGGAGGTTGTAGTGAGCCAAGATCACACCATTGCACTCCAGCATGGGCAACAAGAGCAAAACTCTGTCTCAAAAGAAAAAAAAAAAAAGATGTGGTATTCCACATAGCTAGTATGAGTTACAGGATTTTAGTGATTAGAAGTGAGAAAGAGGAAAAGGCAGGCAAGGAAGTGCGCAGGAGACACAGGAAACATCCAGAGAGTAGAAAGTGGCTGGTTTAGGCCAGAATATAAAAGAGATATTAAAATGTAAGACTAGAAAAATTGATTTATACAAGATCAGAGTTGTTCTGTGAGCCAATCCAGCTATGAATCCAAAGAGGGTGTGGTGTGAACCCCAACTTGAAGCTGATTGGGAAGAAATATTGGAGGCCCGAACTTGGGACTGGAGTCCAGGGTAATTTGGGGGACTGAGCCCTCAAACTGTGGAATCTGACACTATCTCTAGATAGGTAGTGTCAGAATTGACTTAGAGGACAACCAGGTGGTATCCACTGCCGAAATGATTGCTTGTTTGTGGTGGGGAAAAATCCCCCACATTTAGTCACAGAAGTCTTATGTGTCTTACATGTTTGATTCTTATGTGAGAGCATAAGGGAGAAAACCAGTGCTCATTTTTCCACTCAGATGAATCTACCATATCCTTAGAGGAACAAAGAAGGAAAAACTCATTTGAAAATACACAGATATCCTATATGAAGTATGTAGGAATCAGAGTCAGTATCTCAAACAGCAAATAGAGAGGTCAATGTTAAGAATTCTGTACAAACCTGAGAGCTCAAAATTTCAAATTTATTGTTTGGATTTCTTTTTCTTGTGTAGTAATCTAAAATTATAGAAGGGAAAGCCAATCATTTTTTTTTAATTTTAAAAAATTCTTTTGGAAGTCAGGTGTACACTGTTTTTGTTTGGAAAGAGTAACTGAAACAGAGGCTCTCTAGTAAACTCTCTTTTTCTGTTTGGTTTGGGCACCTCTGCTTCTCAGTCAGTACATGGCTACTGTTGTAATCCTTTGCTACCCTCCTTATTGATAACTTAAATTGTTGATGGATTGGCCCTTTAAGGATCAGTGGAATTCTCCTCTCATTTCACTATCTTTTCTTAATTGTTCCCCACAGAATCCCCTTCCCTTAAAATCTGCAAAACGTATCTTTGAAACTTACCTATGCTATTTATGTTACCGTCAGAAATTCTATCTTTCTGACTTATACTCTATCTACCAGCTGGAGATATAAGCTCTTTGAGGGTAGGAACTAGTTTTGTAATTCCTTTTACTTCCAAAACCCTCCACAGTACTTGAAATTATTACCCTCTGAAATTATGATGATGATTTGGTAAAAGATAGCAGAATTGACAGCAAGGAAAGCATACCAGATTCACATTTTCTTCTACAACTCGTGGGATTTTCTTTTGCCTCAAAATAAAAGTGGTACAGGTGATTGGAATAATTTTTGTGTAATACAACAAAACACTGAAATTATTTATTTCCTTAGTTACAATGCTTTGTTTCACACTAAAATGAATGGATTAAGATGGTCTAATTCAAAGTTTTCTTCATTTTACAGGATGGAAACTTCTCTGTCGGTACCATCTTGGAAAAACCGCAAAATATGGTGGTGGTTGGACAGTCAGCATTTGCAGACTTTGGTAAGATTGCTTTTGCCTTTCCAATTCTCCCCATCTTTTTGACCTATTCATATTAATTCCCCATAGCAGGAAATAGCTCCAGAGTCTTCAGAGCTATTATAGCTTCAAAGGATCCCTATTCTATAATAGTATTGTACATGACATGGGGTCAATTTCTTAATGAAATAAGGAAAAATTTGTGACATGTTTAAAAAATAGTTTGATACTGTTTGCAGGAGTAACATGCAAAACAAGGAAATCTACTGAGACACTTCTCTAGAGAATACCAGGTATTAATTACCATAACTTCTTCATGTATATCCAACAAATGGAACAAATATAAGTGAAGGAGTTAATCTGACCTCTTAGAACCAATACTAAAAACCATTTTTATTTACAACTTAATTTCAAAGAAGAGTAGTATCTATCATGAATTACCCAAAAGAGGACATATGAATTTATGTTTTCTATAAGATTCTCCAGAATCAAGTTCACATTGGCCAGGAACTTCCAAAGTGTATGTGGCTCTTCATTAAAAGGACTTTGTGTTAGATGGGAAAGTGGCCTGCGTGATCCCTACCTAAAAGCTGTTCAGTGCCCATTCCCATCCCGCTGATCCTTCATTAGCCAATAACCACTGTAGGCTTTCCTCAAAATGTAGATGAGATGTCACCATATTCAGATACCTCAGTTTCCTCATGTATAAAATGGAAATGATAATAATACTCACCTCTAAAGCCTATTATGAATAGCACAATGCAAATAAAAAACAGCGTCAGGCTTATAGTAAGAGTACAAGAAGTTAGAGTTTGAGCTGGGTGCAGTGGCTCTTGCCTGTAGCCCAAGCTACTTGATAGGACTGTTTGTGCCCAGGAGTTCAAGTCCAACCTGGGCAACATAGCAGTATATCATCTTAAACTGTAGTTTGAGTCTATTCATTGGACTTACCTGTTTTTTGTTACTGTGATCTCTGCTGCTCTGTATGCAGCTGACTAAATCAACTCACTGTTCAGTATCATATGGATGTATCCCAACACAGCTAAACAAGGAAGTTTGATTATGTCATATCACGGAAATTTTAACATAAATCTCTGTGTTGCCCCGTATTTTAGTTATGTTGAGTATTATGTTAATTTTGAGTAAATTTCTGTTGCCTTTACAGTTTTTAATGCAAATAGTCAAGTAATAGAACACATGACATTATTTTTTGGAATTTGCTGGGAATTTGATTAGCTAAATTAGTAACAGCTCTCTCTCAAAACCTCTCTTTAGGAAAAATATATGTACTATAATTCTCAGGGAGTTCAGAGACATCTCTGATCCCCTTAACCCGTGGCTAAAAACCTCCAAAATAAAGTTATATCCTTGATGATCATGTGTTTTCTATCATAAAATGCCTTATTTTTAACAAAATTATTAGTAGCTTTACTTTGAGTTTTTTTTTTTTTTACAATTTTGCTAAACATAAGCATTTACATTAGTGTTTTTAAGATGCACAAAATATGAGTCAAATGAAGAAACATAACTTGGGTAGTTTATCAGTAAACTTTTTTTAATGTATCAGTAATTTTTTTTTTTTTTTTTTTGAGTTGGAGTCTCACTCTGTCATTCCCAGGCTGGAGTGCAGTGGCGAGATCTTGGCTCACTGCATCCTCCGCCTCCTGGGTTCTTGCAGTTCTCCTGCCTCAGCCTCCCGAGTAGCTGAGACTACAGGTGCATGCACTACGCCCAGCTAATTTTTTGTATTTTAGTAGAGTCGGGGTTTCACTGTGTTGCCCAGGCCAGTCTCAAACTCCTGAGCTCAGGCAATCTGCCCACCTCAGCCTCCCAAAGTGCTGGGAATTACAAGTGTGAGCCACCACACCCAGCCTTAGTAAATTTTTAATATTTATTACATGTTAGCTTTTTTAAAGTTCATGTATTTTTAGTTGAATATTGGCAAAAAATACTGCTGGATCCAAAAATACGAATATTAACATATCAAAAGTATGCATTTTTCCTGTGAAAAGTGTACATTTGAATACGTTTGTGAGTTACATCCAGGCCCCCATCTTACTTTCCATCTACTTCCTTTGAACCAAAACAAGGGAAGTGACTAACAGCCAGGAAGTCAGCATGATTTCAGAAATTTACCATTCAGTTGATAAAGAGTGTACATGCTTAAATAAATGATGTAAGTTACAAGAAGTCTGTACCAAAGAGAAGTGTTTTTAAATGGCCCCCAGCTCACTTGTCTGAAAAAACAGAGAAGACTAGAAAGAAACACAGCAAAAAGATAATAATGGTTTTGTTAAAGTAGGATAATAGATTATCTTATTCCCTATTTTCCAAATTTTGTTTTGTGGTCAGGTTAATTTAATATGTTAATTTAGTAGGGAAAAGTAAATTATAGAGAAATAATAGTCAACCATGGTAAGAAAGAAACCATAGTATATACTTACTTCCCAGTAAAAAAAAGTGTTAAAATTTTCGTCATAGAACTTCTGAGTTCATATAAAATTGATCCTATTTTCTGAGTGACATGAACGACTCATTTAGAAAAGATCATGTATGGCTGTATGTGGCAGTTTGTGCCTGTCGTCTCAGCTCCTCACAGGGCTGAGGCCGGAGAATTGCTTGAGCACACAGGTCAAGGCTGCAGTGAGCTGTAGTTGAGCTACTGCACTCTAGCCTGGGAAACAGAATGAGACCTCATCTCTAAAAAAATTTTTTTTAGAGATGAAAGAAGAAGTTATATAGTTTCACAGGGTCTTTAACTCCAAATAAAATGTAAAAGACCTTTGAAAAAAAAAATTAAACCTCTTTTATGCTTAAAATGTTGTGCTGAATACTATGTCTGAAAACTGATTTTAAAGATAAGGTCCTTGCCTTTAAGAATTTTACAGGCCAAATGCAGTGGCTTACACCTGTAACCCCAACACTTTGGAAGGCTGAGGCAGGAGGGTCACTTGAGCTCAGGAGTTTGAGACCAACCTGGGCAACATGACAAAACCCTATCTCTACCAAATATACAAAAAGTTAGCTGGGTATGGTGGCACAAGCTCTGGTCCTAGCTACTCAGGAGACTGAGGTGGGAGGATCACTTGAGCCTAGGAGGCAGAGGTTGCAGTGAACAGTGATCACGCCACTGCACTCCAGCCTGGGTGACAGAGTGAGACCCCCCCACCCAAAAAAAAAAGAAAAAAAAGAAATTTATATTCTAGTTGGGAAGACAGAATCTGAATATGTAAAAAATCAATACAAGAGTAAAGCAGAAAGTAACTGCCACAATGTAAGAGAAACCAAACTGCATTTCATTGTTGATTATGAAATTAATGCCATGGAAAAAGTGCTATCTAAGTCTTGTGGCAATATAGATCATTCCAAGCTGAGAAAGTGTACAAAAGCCTCATGGAACTGGTGAGATTTTATACTGGACTTTTAAGCAAATCTAAGGTTTGGCTAAACATGCGGACATATAAAAATGGTTTGGTTAGTGACTAGTGAATAAACCAGTTTGGGTTGAATCAACAGTTACTATAAAAATGTAGAAGCATAATAAATGGCCTGGGAACACATTGGATTACCAAATGAATAACAGATGAACAGATGTTGATTCTATTCTGTAGAAGTGATGGGAAATAGTAGAACAGTTTGAACACCTCTTTGCTAATACCTTTTTTATTAACTTCAGAAAGTAAAGTTGAACAAAATCTGCTGGTCTGGTGGGATATGCATAATATAATGCTTCTTGGGCATGCCGTAGGAGTTCAAAGGAAGACTATTAGAATCTCTGAGGTACCTGAGATTTTGATGTTAAAAGAGAGGCAGATTTAAACAGTCTTAAAATACAGTATTTTCTAAAGGTGGAAAGCACTCAGTAGACGGGTCAGGGCATGAGGTGGTGAGAGCCAGAGCTGAACTACATCAGTATGTGGTGGGAATCAGTAAATTTGCTGATTGGTTTGACACTAGGGAGAGTAGAAAGTAAAGTAAAAAATTGACTCTGAGTAACCTAAAGAAGGGTGATGCTATTCACAAAGATAGGCAAATCAGGAGAGAAAGCTGAATTGGGTACTGAGATGCTTTAAAGTTACCAGTGAATCATGCTGTAAAAGACAACAAAGTCATCATGTTTAGCAGACCTAAGCTGAGGGAAAAAGCCAAAGCAGGCTTGAGAGCCCTTTAAGAGGCAAGAGGTCAAGACTGGGATGAGCCCTCCAAAAAAGGTGTAAAATGGAGGTTGAAAGAGGGCGAAGGAGGGAGAGAAGTAGGTGCTAAAAGGTGGTCAGAAACCATCGGTAGATATTAAAATGTGATGCAAGAAGACCAAAAAAAGACCTTTAGATTTTTATTTTAGTAGGGTATTGGTGGCCCAAAAGTTACCATTTGCAGAATTCTCAGAGCAGTCCCTAAGTCATAGAAAGTGCCCAGTAAATACTTGCTACTACTGGTGTCAGATGAGCTTCTGGACCCTGGTCTCATGTTTGGACATCTGCAACCCAGAAAGGGCCTATCACAGCTAAGCAATCATCAAGGAAAGTATATCTTCTAGAAGACATGTTTTTATGTTGCCCTACTATATCATCCTTTTAAACTGTGTGTTAATCTTGAGTCTTCTTCTACATAGGCTCTGAATATCAGATTCTAGAATTCCTATAATAAGGTCTTATCTCTTATTAAATTATATAGGACAAAAAGTCAATAGAAATTAGAGAAAATACGTGTCAATTTCATATGTAATACTAGATGTAGTGGAAATCAATAAAAGCTATAAAACTGAAGGAAAAACAGAAATCTTATATAGAATACCAGCATTTTTTTGTAGATTGAATTATTGTAAATGTCATATAAATTTATTTATAAATTATCCAGATCTCATGCTAACTGTTGTGTATTGCATCTTCAGGAGATCATACTTTCTGCTTCAAGTAAAGGGAGAATACTGGGCATGATGAACTCATGCCTGACTGAATTGTCAGTCAGATCTAGATAATCCTATAAAAAATAAAGGAGCTAATGAAAATTGAAAACTGTCATTC